TCGGTCTATTTTTGTGTTATGAATAGAGAACACACCTTTTGTTTGGGATTTTACACTTTGGAGGCAGACGTTTTGGTAGCAGAAATTCCCCATAACTAATTGGCATAACCATACAACAATTGGTCAGATTGTGTAAGTTCTCATTCGAGTTATAATCCTGGAGGCAAAGCTGCTCGAGGTGTGATGCCCATAATTAGCTGGCAAAAATAGATTGTCCTATATCATGTATATTCGAAATGAAAGATGGTCCGATCAGCTGCCGAGTGGGAAGTAATTATGCTTGCGTTCTACCCAGGTTCGAATGGCAGTTGCGTTGATGCGTTTGACCAACTGATGAGACCCAGCCAAGTCAAAACAACTGTCTGTTGCTTACTAACTTTTCAGTCCACGGCTTATTTACACGACAAATCCGTGATGTTATGGAACGAGACGTCAAAACACAGGTCTAATTATTTCACGCGAGGTGCTAAAAGTTGTAGATAACTGGTAAAAACAATTAGAAGTCGTATATTCCTTAAAGAAAACAGAAGAATAGTTGAAAACCCCTAATTGCTAACCGAGAGTATCGAGTTGCTTGACTTTAGGGTAGGATGAAGACACATGATTTCTGTATTCGTGCAAACGAAGAATATCTTTACGCCACAATAATATAACTGATTGTCAATCGGTTGGCTTTAATTTTCTTCATTCTCAATTTTTAGTTAGAAAACTTTCTCGATTTTCAGCAGAGTTTTGCGCAAATCACAGAAATCCATCTAAAGTATGCAAACATAACCGCTAATTCGTCATTTCGATAACAATTCTGTATCTGTAGGAATATCAACTCTGGTCCCATCCCCGCGATTCACGGACACTAATTGGAGTAGTACTCAGTGTTTTCTCAGCGATGTGACGGAACAAAACTTATCTCAATCCTAAGCCGGGGTTGTATCAATCAGCCAAAACGAAGTTCACGTGCAATCTATAATTGGTTATAACTGTAAAATGAAAACTGAGAAAAATCCGGAATAGGCGTTCACGGATCGAGTACGGTAAAAATGAAGAACAGAACTTTTCACGGAAATACGTATTAATCACAAAGTTGGCATTTATCTTCTGACGTAAAATATTGCGATCTGAAGAGTCAAAACAAAAACCACATCGAAAAACCAGGAATTTTACCTTGAGCATAAAACCATTATTTCGTCATAAACCTCATTTTGATGAACGGCAAACACAAAGTGGCCCATAGAATCTACTCTTCGGTTTAGCAAGATAGTTTAGTAAGCTGGAAACCCTGAACAGGCACCCACAGAATGGGTGTCGTTTTGAACCGGGGACAAAATCACCGCCTACCACCAAAGTTGGACCGACAGCCTGGTTAGGTCCTCTGTGACGTAAAATGCATTCATCGCGTCGCAATCCGGGTACACGGACTACAGTTCACAGGCGACAAATAAAATCGTGCTATTTCGCCTGTATGATCACCTGGAAAAACAAAAACAACCAATAATAGTCGACTTGATGATAACGGAAATCAAAATTATGTAAAATTTTTCAAGTTGAATAACAAATAAACATGAAACTAATAATAGAACTCAATCCTTATGAGTTTGTGTTGTCGTAGTCTGGTAACACAATATACATTTGACAAAGCTGTTGCTTAGAAACGTTATAACAAAACAGAATAGTCAGACTACAAATAATATCTTGTTTAAAAATAATTTCGAAAACATGGTTTATAAATAAACCGCGCACCGGAAGGCCGGAAGACTTTTAGTATTATTTCGTAATATTTTGCTTATCTGCCGTTTGTCAACAAGAGATGTGCAATGCTAACAACATTCCTTGTTGACTACAGCATTAGTCTGATCTGTTGCATTCATTTGAAGCGGAATACATAGAATTTTGGAATTCAAGCGTGATTGTTATATAACATTGACAACTGGTTTTATTCATAAGATGAAATGAAAATGGGTTCACGATTGTTTTGGTGATCTCCTCAAAATTGTCCTCAGTTTCGATGAATTNTTCTGAAACTCCGGGAGAATACTTTAGGGCAGTTTCACTTCTCTCTCTCTCCTATTCTCCAGTTTGTGATTATTGTTAATCACTTTGAACCGAAGGGTTCACGTTAAATGTCTTTCTGCTGGAGAAAAACAATTTCATGTATTGTGACATTTTCGGACGTAAATTCGGAGTTGTGTTCTGTCAGTCATGGGATTTTCGTTCTTTGTTCAGAGCGGGATTGAAGATATTCCTGGCCTGATGCTGATCTCGTGTCAGGTTGAACTGACCTATGTGACAGTCGCAGTGAATCGGTTGCCGACACAAACTCACTGTAGGTGACATTCACCTCTTCTATCCTGGCTTCGGAAGGCGAGCAGTCTATTATAATCTCATCACACTGAAACTAAAGTCAAAGAGACTAAAGTTGTATTTTACCCACAGACTGAATTGCTTTCACGCATCCGTTGTATAATATCGCTCGAGATATCCTCTTATCCATAGTCATGGTTTACTAATCATATACGCTGAGGAAAGTAGCATATGGGGGATACTTAGCCGTCATCATTCCTGAGGGAGGATTTGAATAATATGAATAATATTGGCGATGACTGAACTATTCGATGGCCGAACCAATAAGACAAACATGTTTTATCCAAAAATGGAAACGTATTATTGAATTGCTGTTACAAATAATGCAATTAAAAACGATTCACGTGGCTACTGTGTTCGATACACTACAGTGTCACGCGGATATCGAGCTTGATGTTGAAAATAAAACTATTTGATTTTCGTGATTCGTGTCACGAGGGTTCAATTGGGGCGGAATTCTAAACAGAACTACGCTTTACATAGTTGTGTCTCTATACCACACATGATATTTGACATATTAATAATAATATCATATATGTGCACAGAATTCTTTCTGTCTCAACTTTAGTGGATCACACAGTTAGTATAGAACTCAGCACATCAGAAAGATACGGTCAAAATAAACTTCAGTCAACAATTTCCTTAACTGCGAACAACCGTGAAATATTAACGTCATATGAATAAATAATAATGATATTGGGATCAAAAACACATAGAAGTAAAAAGAAGCTCCCGATTTGCACATGGATACCAAATCATCACCCTCAATAGATTTGAGCACTGTTGAGGTGTGACTTCAGCTGGGTATATAAGGAATGAGCCTCCAGCAACTAAATTTGTTCATTCACTGTTGCACTGAATAAAGAGATTATTAGCAGAAACCTACTGACACAGCTATGCACGAACAGATGAGGAAAACGAATTCAACAGTACAAAGAAAATCATGTGTTTCACAGATTTCTAGCACACGGATCTCTGTTTTAATCTTGATTTACGGTCTACTTTTTGTTACATTACTCTGACATTTTTAAAATGCACGTTTCATTTAGTCTCATTTTATTTTGTGCTTTTTGACAATCAGTATGAATCTTTGATGAAAACGTTTGTACAAGTTTCCGTAATCTATTCTCATATAGTACTGTGAAGGAGACGAGTGCTTTTCGACACTTCCAAGCGTGAGTGGTGAAGTGCTCACATGATCAACAACCGATCAAATCCCTTGTATCTGAACTCCACTCCGGCTTTATTGCATCACGTTAGAGACGATTAGGGACTTGATGCCGTCTGTGCAATTCGGTCAAGAACGTAATACCACGAACGAAATGCCAGTGGAAATCAACCGGTTTCTATCAACCACATTTTCCTCGCGACGGGCATCCGATGCGAATTCGCACAATCACATTGGTGACCATAATGATCTGATTCAATCCATTATCCAATCAAAAATATATTGACTTTTTCTCACCATCCGGTGGTTTGCGTCATTTTTAAGAGGAACAAACAGTCCGACAGTCTGATTGCACCCATTCTGATTCTTCCTTATACAATGATTTTTTTCGTCACCCAAAAGATCGGCAGCATTTCTCTATGACAACGATAAACTCGAACAATGTAATCGAACATGAAATCCGACGACGAAATACCATTTAGATCACCAATCCATTGGCAACCAAATACCGGTATTAGAAAATCAAAGCGAATGCAGTGTTGCTTGAATTAGTGGCAGAATGTTCTCAAATTGTTCCGGATCAAACAGAGAAAGACAGAAGTGATTTACCATATTGGGTTGTAATCAGAATCTTATGGCAATGCTTTTTAAAGTTTGACCAAGTCCACCCTGAGCCACTCAGTGGATGACAAACCAGTCCGGATGCGCTCATTTAGCATCTGTGTTGAACAGAATACAGTCTGAAATCTGAATCGGGACTGTTCTGTTTCCGGGAAACTTGAATTTTTCTTTTACCATCGTGTTCATCAGTCAGACGGACGGGTGGAGTGTGAGTAGTACTGAATGTTCCCAGTTATGGTCGTATACATTACGCAGTGAAAAAATGCTTACATAACGATAACCGTTGGCTAAATTTAAGGTCGTAAATCAGGGACAGAGAGTAGAAGGTGTTTGTGTGTCTGGGAGCGTTTAGTGTGTTAGCTGATGTAACCTATCTCCACTTTGGTCCGGGGGCAGGTCGTCTTCTGTCTTCGTTTTCACACTGGGCCAAGGCAGTTGCACTACTTGAAACAGTCTTTTTGGGACCTACTAGGCGAATGGCGATCGCCTCGGTCAGAGTTAGTGTCCAAACTCTAGCTGTCTGCCATTTCACAGTCGATGATGCACGGAGCATTGGTTTTCTAAAAGCTACATACACTTTTTACTCGAATCGGCGTATTCTGATCAGGCAACGATGAATGTCAATTGCGGATTGGCTGTGGATGTAGAAAAGCTTGATTATAAACGGCATCGTTATGTCCAACAACCATGACTCAAGCAAGTGCCAGTCTTTACGCGAGATATCACATCTAGTCGATCATGCTGCATTTTAAGCGTTCTATTCATTAAAAGGTTTAACTTTATACTTTGATCTTACACGAATTCACAGTTCACTACTCATTTATTCACCTATGTTCTATCCGTTCTGTCTCAGTTGTAGAACCGGTTATACCGGAGTGCGATGTGACATGTTCAATCTACCCCAAACGCTGGATATTCTCAAATCATTCAAAGAAGAAATTATCGATGTGCCCTCATTGCACCAAACTAACGCGATCACACTGTACAGTGTGGTGGAAGCGACCGCGTAAGTTCTACTCTGTCGTATGTTCTTTCTGTGGCTATTCTATTTTTCTCTAATAAATATGTGATGAGCAAGTGAGAGGATTGGATTCGATTGTGTGGTGAATTTTGTTGTGCACAGAGCAACAGAAGCGTGAAGTGTGGAAAGCTAGGAAGCAGCTGTTTCGAAACAGCTTGGTGGGAATCGAACACGTGAGGCCTGGATCAGTGAGAATTTGACGTATTCTGTTCTAGCACTGTAGCTTCATCTCCACAAGTTATTGGCTCGGCTGTTCTGTCACGGACGTGCGGTTTGCAAAACAAAATAGCAACTCTATGATTGTGACAGTGTGGATTGTTCAAAATTTGAATTTAAAATCATCTCTTATTCCCGTTGACAAGGGCCTGATTCAACTGAGGGTGAAACGCACTCCACGTTGGTAATTCAATAGGAGTAACCTGAAGGTCCTGTCCAATGGATTGTGTCGACCACTTAGCTATTCCCTTGCGAATAGAAGAAATTTCAGTTATTTTCGCCTTACTAAATCCAGCGAATGTATACATAAAGTCCCGTTGTGGGTGTTCATGAACCATATGTCCATAGGTCTCATCCAACATAACTCCCCCTTTGCATTTAATTTCTCCGGTTCATTATTCATCGCATTGTTTGAAATTGCCAAAAACACTGTAAATCTAATCAGTGTCCAGAAGACCTGAAATGGGTTTTTCATAAACGTGATACACCTGTGCGGGCGTACGAGAACCAACTGGTGATAGGACAGGTACGTGTGCGTTTGTGTGATCTGTTCCCTCTCC